TAATTGAGTCATTATATCCTCAAATACTTCAATTATTCGGACTTTCAAAAATTGGGGCGTTTTCATCCAAGTGCCCCTTTAAAAGAGGAAAACAATTTTTAGAAGTTGAGCATGTTTATACTATACATTAAGATTATCCATGGCATTTCAAAAGGTTAAAATTCAACACTTTTTTGCAATTTAAGATTCAGTCACTGACTGAGGCCCAGTCACTTGCAATCCATTTCAGTCACATCCAATTCATTCCAGTCACATCCAGATAACATCCAATTTATCTCAATAGCATCTTAATTGAGGAAAACTAGTCGTAAAAATCTGTTATGATCCTCAGAGTCACCTATAGACACATGATGTATAAAGTCCTTTGAAAAACATTTGCTGCTGACAACTTCACAGGACTTCAACCAGTTCCACACGATCCAAAGCATAAAATTTTTTTGCATTTATTTTAGCAAAATTTCGGAATAGAATCAATAGTTATTTATAATAAAATAAAAATCATAGAATAAAAATTGCCAATTCGGCGTAAAAAAAACGTGTTCGTTCTATGCGATTCAGCCAACTGAAGTCCAGTCCATTCCATCTATGTACGGTTCCGGATTTTCCAAAATTAAGAAACACTCAAAATTCGGGCAATAAAAGAAGAAAACAAGTCTTAGAAGTTGGGCATGTTTATACTATACATCAAGATTATCCATTGCCTTTCAAAAGGTGACAATTCAAAACGTTTAACTGGGTTGCTATGGTCTCTTGTAATGTGCGAAATGTGCATTCTTTGCACAGGAGTACCCAATTGGATTTTAATGACGTGTTTGTAGATTCTGAGCTCAAATATTTGCCCACATTTTTCACTCCCGTACGAATTATTTGCGATTGTTATTCGTACGGGAGTCGGTTCAGCGAATATTTACCAACATTTTTCACTCCCGTACGAATTATTCGCAATTGTTATATATTTTCACTATGAGAATTCGCTAGGCACGAAGGGAATAAGATATGTGACTATGATCATTCATCGCTGCGGGGAGGGGGGAAGGGGGGGGGGGGGAGTTTTTCCCCTTATTTCTCGTTTCCCGCAAACGTGCTAAAATGTGCAAGTCCAGAGAGAACGGAAACGTTTATATAAGAAGCAGGGTGAGAAAATGCATGCCACGAGAACCCAAGACTCATGCAAATAAGCGTCGATGTGAAAAATCTCATTTTTTGGGCTTTTCGTGCTTAAATTCCATAGTGAGAATAGTATTAGATAACCTCATCGAGGCGGCTTAGCAGGGGGAAGTGGGAGGGGACCCCAACCATGACAACACACGCGATCGCCGAATTTTGCCGAATAATAACGAGTATTTCGAGCGACCGCACTCGCCGCTGATCTTTGACCAAATAATTAACGAGTATTTCGAGCGACCGCACACGCCGCTGAATTTTTCCAAATACCTAACTAACATTTTGAGCGACCTCACACGCTGCTGAACTTGGCCAAATAAATAACGAGTATTCTGAGCGACCGCACACGCCGCTGAATTTTGCCAGATACCTAACTAGCATTTTGAGCAACTTCACGTCTTTTAGCCTTTGCGAAATAATTAACGAGTGCTTTGAGCGACATAATACATCGCTAAACTTTACCAGACACCTAACTAGTATTTTGGGCGACCAACTTCACACGTGGCTGAACTTTGCCAAATCAATGACCAACGTTTAAGCTTCTACTCACGGTTGTGAATAATGGCAAAAGCAACAACATTTAAAACGAAACCGTGAGCGACTATAACCAATAAAGTAAAAATACCATAGCTGCACGTTGAAGAAGCAACATAGACGAAAAGTATTATACCTACTACTTCGGCGTGACCACCAAAAGCGTCCTGAACGGCCTGTTGCGGAGGAACGGGATTCTGTGCTTCTTGGTTATGTCCAATTTGTAGTAGTTGATTCTATGGTTGCGGTTTTGGCTGAGGTTGTTGACTCAGAGGCGGCGGGTCGGCCTGAAGAACAGCTTGTATGGTAGCCTGAACTAGCTGAGCTGGTACTTGGGACATAGTTTTCTTCTTTCTCTGTACCTTTCATTAATGCGTCTTAGCTCCCACGGCCCAGCGACGAATGATGTGAAGAATTAAGAAATTTTTTCTTTACTTCTCGTAGAACGCAAACGAGCTTAAATGTGCGAGTCCAGAGAGAACGGGAACGTATATAGGTTGCTATCAATAGACGTCACTTCCGGTAATAGCTCTTTTTTGATGGCTTGTAGAATCCTGGAGGTTGTTTTGATCTCGTGTTTTCTGGTTTGATGTCGTGGAAATAGTCAAATACAATAGTTTTAGGACTTATTTTGATATGTTTTGACTTAGCATCCACTAGTTGCCCCCCAGTCAACCGCTTGTTTGCCAGTCAACTGCAAAAAGTCACGTGATTGATAGTAAGCAATGTAAGAAGCAGGGTGAGACAATGCATGCCACGAGAACCCGAGACTCATGCAAATAAGCGTTGATGTGAAAAATCTCGTTTTTTGGGTTTTTCTTGCTCGAATTCCATACATATAGTGAGAATAGTTATTTGTTATTCGTACGGGAGTCGGTTCAGCGTATATTTACCAACATTTTTCACTCCCGTACGAATTATTCGCGATTGTTATTCGTACGGAAGTCGGTTCAGCAAATATTTACCAAATGTTTTCACTCCCGTACGAATTATTCGCAATTGTTATTCGTACAGGAATCGTTTCCGTCCACAATATGCCGGATAAATTTGAATCCGAATTTTTATTTATTCGGTTAGGCCTACCGTCCACACTAGTCCGGGCGAATCCGGAACAATTCTTCACCGAAAACGAATTTTTTCGAATACAGTCTACAGAGTGGAATAATTTGCCAGCCAACCGAAGTCCAGTCCATTCCATCTATGTACGGTTCCGGATTTTCCATAATTAAAAAAACACTCAAAATTCGGGCATTTAAAAGAGGAAAACAAGTTTTAGAAGTTGAGCATGTTTATGCTATACATCAAGATTATCCATGGCCTTTCAAAAGGTGAAAATTCAAACCTTTTTTTGCGATTTAAGATTCAGTCACTGACTGAAGCCCAGTCACTTGCAATCCATTTCAGTCACAACCTATCCATTCCAGTCACATCCAAATAACATCCAATTTATCTCAATAGCATCTTAATGGGAGGAAAATTAGTCGTAAAAATCTGTTACGATCCTCAGAGTCACCTATAGACACATGATGTATAAAGTCCTTTGAATCATTTAAAAAAAAAAACATAATAAAAAACAATTTTTGCATTTACTTTTGCTAAATTTCGGAATAGAATCACTAGTTATTTTCTAATTTAAAAAATCATAAAAGCTGCAAATTAGGCGTAAAAAACGTTCACATTCCGTACGATCCAGCCAACTGAAGTCCACTCCATTCCATCTATGTACGGTTCCTGATTTTCCAAAATTAAAAAACACTCAAAATTCGGGCATTTAAAAGAGGAAAACAAGTTTTAGAAATTGAGCATGTTTATGCTATACATCAAGATTATCCATGGCCTTTCAAAAGGTGGTAATTCAAAACTGGTTTAACTGGGTTGCCTGCGGCAGCCCGGTAGTAAAATGAGTTGGTTTTTTATTTTTACTGGGTTGCCTGTGACAGCCCAGTCATGAAATATACCTTTGTTTTTTTTTTTTTGATTTTTTTGGTGTTGACATCAACAGCAATAATTTGTCACTGAAATCCTTGCTTTGATACACAAGATGTATATGTACTATTAGTTTGTGCTTTTGGTGGTTTCTTGCACACACTGAAGTTGTTTTCTGTCACTATTTGAAATGGAAGCTGTTGACTCAATAACTACATCATTTACAATTCCTGCATTAGTAGGTCTTAAGTCTTGGGTTTCCTCTGGGGGCAAGATGCCTGTATTCTGGAATTAGATAGTCTGAAAAAATGAGTAATTTGAACTCTTTGAATCTTAGGAAGAAAGGCTTTTTCATCAAAGTAGAACAAAAAAATATATGAACACAGAAGACAGGACAGGTTCAAGTATGAACAGCAATAAAAATGACTTGAATGCAGGTAAAGGTTGATTGCTTAATTTAGCAACCCTCCCTCCCCCACTAATCTATGCATTCGTGAACATTTAATTGATGTCAAAGAAAAAAATGGCTTCTTCTTCTTCACGTTTCCTTTCTTCTTGTCTCTTACTGCATTTTGTATTACCAAACAGAGCATGGAAAAAAGCTTTTTTTCATTTAATCAAAACTTCAAAACGCTGGTTCTATGTGGATACTTTCAAAACTCACCTCACTTATTATTATCTGAAAGAAATGGTATCAATGATGTTAGCACAAAGTGTCCAGTTACAGAAAATGATGATGAACCAGATGACCTCAAATCCTCCGTTTAGAAGCACTGAATCCATGAAAACTGAACCAAGGTAATACTTACAAGACTTCATGTATTTAATACAAGAAGATTGTTGGGCTGTTGGACAGGAAAAGGAAAACAGAGGGGTGGGAAATGGAAATTGGAGGAATGAAAATTAATAAATATTTGAATTCTAAGAGACTTAYCATGTCATTGACCCACCAAACTCACCCCAAATTTTTCTTGTAAAAAGAATTTCTCAAAGTGCTTTTACACAGTAAGTTATTTTTTCTGCATCAAACTGAGTAATGGAGCCTATATTTAATTAACTATATTGATGCCTTCATGTACTTATCAAATGGCTCCATGTATTTACAGGTTTGYGTTGCAGTTAAAAATGTAGGTACACTTTTCTAATAAAAAATATATTTCTCTTTTAGACAACGCCAAGTTGAAATTGAACCAGTGGGTTACAGGGAAATGGATCCCTTTACTGAGCTCCCACAGACCAAATTAACCCAAAAAGGTATACTGTACCCATCACATTTTTCTTGGGAATAATGTTACATCATAGATACCATGTTGGTTGATAGAAACAAAGCAATCCTCATTAGGGGCTGTTCAACAGTCATGATAGCAATCAAGTTTTCTCATGTTTCCTGTAATAGCAAAATGCCATCATCATCTTTGGTTGTTGATGGTGAGATGTTGGTAAATTGGATTGATGATAGTCTGTTGGCAAAAAACAACTTTTGACAATAAATATAGTTATTATTATGAAATCATATCTTATCCTAAACTAGTCCCTAAGCTATATTTCAAGAAAGCTAACGCGAAATAATGTTATATCATAAATGGACAAATGTATGGACAATATAAACCTATTGAATATGTGTGACAATCTAACTTGCCAAATCTTTTCTAATTTTTATTTATCAATTAGTTAAACCCATACTGAAGGAAAGAAAGAGATCTCCACCTCCCCAACCAATTCCAAAGGTAAGCACTTAACACTTTACATCCCACTGAAATTAAATTAAATGTCTTGTTAAATCCTGCTTGTCTATCAAAAACAGATGCGTGCATCATCGTCAAGGATTGTAGCCATGCCAGTGCGTTCAACAGAACTATTAAGAGAGCCAAAGCCAAGACCAAAGACTTCATCATTTGCCATCACTGGATTTCTTGACGAGCCTTCATCCCATGACCCAGTCAATGATGACTATCCATTCCCAGGTACGAAGAAAATCAGGAAACTACGACATATATTTTATGCAGCCTGGTTTTGTGTTATGTTATTATCATTGTTAAAGAAAGTTGTCAAAAGACGATATGAGAATGTTCAAAAACTTGATGATTACATTCAGTCTGGGATCTTTGAACTACATGAAAAGTTTTACCTGAATCAAGAAAGTTCGATCTGGATGGCTCTGAATGATATAATAAAGGATGGGTACTTTGATGTGCATGTCAAATCACCTGGGATATTCCAAAAACTCTCTCAAGAGCAGCAAGCAGCTCTAACAGAGTTGTCGACAATAGTAGAGACTGTGATCTATACTATAACCCAAATAAGACCCATGTCAGGTCTATTGAGTCCATCACGAGAAGGAGTTCTGTGGTATGTGTTACAGACTGGGGTTCATTTACCAGCTTCATATTTATGGCAAGTTGAAAAGGTATATGATTACCATATCATTAAATCTTTGTACCTATTTTAAAAAAACGTTGTGTATTTAGGGCATGCAGTTCAATCTGATCTTTTGGCCTTTGGATAAATCATAAAGGAGGCAGGGGTGGGGTGGAGAGAACATTAACCCAATTTTATTGCAGTTTTTGATATTCTGCGACCTCGGTAGTTACAAGCTGCATGCTGAAATTTGTTTTTTTGCTGCCGTCAATCAAAAATAATCAGTCGGTACCTTTTATATTCTTGACTTGCGGCAGTGAAAACCCCATTTCACAGCTAGCCATTGAAATGTGGAGTTTGCAGAATATCGAAAACTGCAGTAAGAGGAGGTGAAACATAATCATTCAACTTTACATTGTTATTTGTACATTGTATTCTCACTGACTGTGTGATGGCATGATGTGTTCATACAGTCAATTCAAAAAATTTTGTCGTCAAGCAACTCTAGCCTACGCGACTGGACCGAAAAGAACTCTGGGTAGTAATTATTGAAGCCGAGTTGACTGCATAATTTTATCTGACTAGTTATGCCTGGTTTACAGCACGAACGTTCGTAGGCGAGCGGGAAGTGTTAAAGGAGACGTTTTTTAAATGCCTTCATATATTCKAAATTGTGAACTGAATCATAAGTACTTTGTTTTTGTTTCCTTAAACCCGAAGACATGCATTCGATGGATTGTTTCTCGCCATTATTATCTTATTACTAGCGGGAACAATTTATTCAGAACGAATATTTAAACCGCTTCAGTGATTTTTACCCATATTTCTTTCGGTCCAGTCGCGTAGGCTTGAGCCGGTCGACTACAACGTTTTTTGAATTGACTGTATGTCAAAACCCACAAATAACCCATGCTTACCATAGAATCTGCAGTAGCTCAGTGTTTAGAGCTTCTGAATAATCCAGAGGGTCACACAGGGTTTGATTCTCATTTGAGACTCAAAATTTTTTCTGAGTTTTATATGTTTATTTCATTATTTCATTAAATAACATTGTTTACATTTTAAAGTTGTTATCAATAGTACATATATTCCTACGATTTGCTGTCGGGACAAAGTAGATTTTCTTGAATGTCACTCAAAGTGTATCCATAACATTCCATAGATGCTTGTCCTTAAAAACTTTGTGTTTCCCAACAATAGTTGTTTTTTTCCTCAGGACAAAATTCAATTTTCTGAAAATGGTGCAATAGAATATCTAGACAAACAGACTAGTATTATGCTTGTTCTTGGATTGTTCATATCAAGAGGACTAGTATCATCCAAACTGTTAAAGCCAGTAGAGTCAGGCTTATCACCTGAGAAACCAAGCAACATAGCACAAAGCAATCTTAAGGTGAACATGCATGCATCATTGAATGAAAACGTTCATGACCTTAGTATTTATTCAGTCAGTCAACATTCAGTCAATGTTTCCTTCCTTCCTTCCTTCCTTCCTTC